ATATAAGTAAGGGAAGAGGTTCAAGACCTCTTTACCTTAGAATTCGCTAGGAATTCTGAGGTACATATGGGGTGATCATGTAGTTAAAATCGATGACGACAGTTTATCAAAAAGGATCCAATTTAGTAAAAGTAAAGTAGAGTGAAATGCATATCAGAAAATAAAATGAAAAACCACAGAGAAATTTAGAGAGTAAAGCGGCATTGCAGGTGAAAAAAATGATATGACATCAACACTTACAACGCAATCAACTCACTACTGACAAGTTTGAAGGCAGAAATTACAAACGCTCAGGTCTAATTTATACGGTAATGTCAATGGAAGAAGAATATGTATTTTGTTGTATACAGATTGAACAAACCAAAGTACATTTCTTATGCGCTATTCAAATATTTATTTCAACTAAATCTACATAAATAGTTGATCAGGTTGACTTCAAAATTAATATTTTTTAATATAATTTTGTATTACGCGACCACAAAAAATTTATTGGAAAAGTATCCTTTATCAAAAATAGTTCGAAAGTTTTTTTTTTTAATTTTTAAGAAAGGTATCGAAAAACTACCCTGAATATCAGGGTCCACAACAAACACTTCTTATTCTATATTGTCCAGTCTTAAAATTACTAAAAGTATACAACGTCCTGTATAAGATGTAAAATTCAAAAAATGCATAAAATTGTTATATACGATGAATAAAAGAATGGATCCCATCCAAACAGCCTGAAAATATATATCAAATCAACATATATGTAACAAAAACATTATTGATAATTTATCGAGAACATTTAGACCACTTTTTGTTCCATAAGTTACCGATTTAAATTTAAATACATTTATTCTTGTTAAAGTGAAGTGTAATAAAGCCTAAGCATTTACAAATCTATGTAAAAAAGAATCGTAGATGAAAGTAGATGTAGCTTGATTTCATATAATACTTTTTCCTCCTGTAAATTTTAAAATATGTGTACGAATTAATACGAAACATTATAATGTTGTTTCATAATATAATAAGGACTTTTTTTGTTAAGTTGCCCAGTGAGATACAGGGTAGGAATCCAAGAAATGAATTTACAGCAGATCCTTTATTGTCTCGCAACGAAAGTGGATTAGTTTATAATCTCTACTACAGCTTATCGACCAAAAGATGGTAAACTCTTTTTTAGAAAATGTATGCCAAGCTCTTCTAGCAATGTCTTACACAAAATTGAAGATTTATCAATAATGTTTTTAAGTTGCATTGATTTAATTGCAGTACTTATTAATATAATAATCAATCAAGTCGATAAATAAATATGCCAGAACATTTCATCGTATAGAAAAACTAAAATAGAAGAATAGAAAAATATATTTTAGTCACGTTGAAATTCTATCAAAATATTATTATTAGTGGGAGAGTATTGTATATGAGTATATTAAAGTGTGAGGGAGAAAATATATTGCCACATATCGCCAAATTTAGGAAAAGCGCTTTAGGAAAATGTTTGAAACAACTGAAAAATATCATCTGTCTGACACAGTGTTACGATACAAAATTTATTGTGATCACTGCGTTATTATATTGTAGCATTTTAAAATTCCGTTTTGTGTAACTTTTAATTCACATATTTGAAATTCCGTTCTGTATAAGGTTTTAATCTATTTATTACAAATTTCAAAGGAAAAGACATACCATGAGTGTTTTTTTCTTTCTGTAATTACTGGAAACTGGTCTTAAAATCGTAAAATTGGAATAAACAAAATCAAATCATTTGTTTGCATTGGAAGCTATCGCTAAGAGAATTAAAAGTGGTTTTAGGCCTCAATATGCCTCTAAGCTTAACCAATTGCTCGCTAGATAGGAACCATGACAGCGGGGTGCGCTTTGACATTCAAAGTTGTGTGAATTAGATCGTGGAGACGAATTTTTTCGATCAGGTCGAATTGAAGGATATGAACCATAGCGGCTTCTTAGCCAGAAGAGCGATTGTTTATTGTTTGATTATTTAAAACATCTTTATCTTTGGAGATTCTGTGTTCTTTGGGCAGTAGTGTTAGTAACAGTATGCAGGCAATAAATTAATCAAAACTAAAGATTAATTTAGTACGCAGAATGGGTCATCTTTAATTGCAGCGGGTAATTTTTATTGATATATCATAGAGGAATAATAATTCCTAAGTCATGGCAAAATAATTAGTGTTATTGAAAAAAGAATACATAAGAGCGGTGAGATGTAATCGATCATTTAAAAAGAGTATATTGGAGCTAAAGTATAAATACATTAACTTGCCACAAAATGTTAATTAAAAAGGTTACCAAGTAACATGTTACAATGATTATCCATACCTGCACGCTTGATTAATCACGTACTTTTAAGGGAAAGCAAATGTCGTCAGCCCGCTAGCGATGCATGTGCTATATATTTAGTATATTTACAATTAGTTTACTGCTAATAGTCATCATCATCATGCAACCTCTTCTATCCACTGCTAGACATAGATCTCTCCCATTTTTCGTCACTCTTCACGGTTCTGTGCGTCTTGTTGCCATTTCTTGAATATTCGTTTAATGTCGTCCATCCAGCGTGTTGGTAGTCGTCCTCTGGTGCGTTTGTCTTCTCTTGAGCACCTATCAATTAGTTTTCTGGTCCATCTCGAGTCTTTTAGTCTCGCTATGTGACCTGCCCAATTCCATTTCAGCTTGGCTATACATTCGACGACATCACTGATAACTGAACGCATTGGTCAAGTGTCTTCTATTTTATAACTATCGGGATCTTAAAGTTGTCTTTTAGTGAACCATACGCCGCCAAAGCAACTGTTATTCGTCGTTGAAATTCACAGGTCTAATTATTAATCAGACTTGCGACTGTCAATAGTAGTACAGCCACAAAGTTGTTTTCGATGAGAATTTTGACATTTTTATTTTATACTTTTGAATATTTTGTATATTATTTTGAAGTTGTTAAATTGATAATAAAGTTTTAGCACCAATAACTAAAGATTTTTATTGATATACAATAATATGCTCCCCTTCACACTTCTACCATCGCTCACACTTCGCAGATATAAAGCTCCACAAGAATGTACTTTATATTGGAAAATAAGTTTTTTTTAATTATATATATATTATTCTATTCAAATTTACTTTTTTTTAAACTAACAAAAGAGAATTTTGAAATTGTCTGGTCAAATTTTAAGTCTCAGAAAATTATCTGGCATATTTACTTTCTATTTTACAGAATATTAAATTAAAAGATATTTCCATCCATCGACAGAATGATACTTTTTTTATTAATTATTGTAAATAAGGTTCTGTGGCGTAGTTAAAGATATAAATATGACTTTCTCTCATTTGAAAGCATAACGTTCAATCTAATGTTCAATCGAATACGTTAAGTTCTTCGTACGACAATGTATGATGTATTTTTCCAAAGTATTTCAATCATTATTTTCTTAGTTAAATACACACAACTTTTTTATTTGGCTTTCTTCTTTATCTAAGACTCCATTCTATGGTCTGATTTACCCATCTATTGTCTACCATTCAATCATGCCCGAATTAAAACGTATGACCTACTATTTTTGATTTTGTTTTACGAATACCATCTTGTACAAGACGCTGTCACTCTGGAACTTTTAATCAAATATATAGTTACACTAGATAATACCGCGAAAGGAAACAAAAGTCTTAACATAATAGTTAATATTCTTATCATCCCCGCGCCCGCTTATGTCACTTAATCAAAAAATGAAAATTCAAAACTAAAACATCTAGATATCATCAAAAACACTTCAATGAAAAAGCAATAATTTTACAATATATACACTTCATCTAATTTATATAACGATGCACGTCATCGGCGTCATAGCCTGTGACGTCACATGATACCAACACAAAATATTTAGAGTGTAGGCGTGTTCCTTTTTGCAATCACTTTACCGAGTACACTGGCATTACAGCCATTAGACATATTTCATTATATACGCGTAGAAATAATATTTAAAAATTTCTATTAATGTCAACTTAAATAAATACACAATAATATGTTTCATTTAATTTGTATAAATGCATTATAAAGCGTTTTTATCACGAACATTTGTTCGGAACACACTGTAACTGTAATCGAACGAAGGTAAAATTTTGGCATAAATTGGTAACACTTATTTGACAGTTGCGATGTTGACACTTTTTGTACTTCATTATTTTGAATTTTAAAGTGAATATCTATTGTTCTATATTTTTAACTATTTAATAAAATCTGTTCTTTTTAGAACAAAATTAGTGTGTTTTATTTCAAAAATGTCACGTAAAAATTTAAATAGTCTAAAGAGATGGTAATACTTTTGCAATAATTATGTAATCTATTTGATTTAAAATGGAGTCAGGATTTTTTTTATACTTTGGCAACTATGTCAACTTCGATCTCTGACGTAGATAATGACGTAAGTCGTTATCTAAATTAGATGAAGTATAAAATAGATTTATCTATTGTTCTATTTGTTTAGATTTTATTTTAAGCACGATATTGTATAGAATGTTAAATATGCTTCACATAAATTTAATAACTCTTATTTCTACGTTCAAGCACTCAGCTATCCAATTTAAGTTATCTTTTTAATGGACTACCTAAGTCTGACGTCACAATGGGCGGTGTTTAGAAAACCTTTCCAAACATTTCAAATTCCTGTGTATTTGTTCCATAAGAAGTTGAAAATATTGGTATTTTCAATTGTTTGAAGAGTAAATAAGGAATTTTGGTTACGAACATTCAGTCTTTGCGATTGGTATTATTTGTTGTTAGTGAATTTGTGAGGTAAGAATATCAAATAATTAATATATTTACTCTTAATGTTCATGGTTTGAGGTTATGATATTATTTTATTAACTACTTTTTTAACTGTATTTTAAGGTATCTTGTTGATATTTTGATGAGGATTATTTCAAAATAAATCAATAAATTATTGAATTTATTTACGAAGTTGAAAAATATTTAAATTATTGTTTTATTCTTTTTTCGTTGTCAATGATTTTATTATGTAAAATACTACAGATATTCGTTTTTTCGTAGTTTAAGTAGTGAATAAGGTCTTTTATTTGTAATATAATATTATGTAAAACCCTTTCTATCAAATTGCCATAGTGAGTGTTTAAAAAAAAGTTCTCTAAAATCTAAAGTTCATTTAGATTGATATATCGTAGATAGTTTACAGTAGCTGACCTAGACATTCTTTACATTTTATCTTTTCCATTGAAGTGTGTTTAATCAGCTATATTATCGAATTTGCGTAAAAAAATATTGAGTAATAAATAGGTGGATAAAGAAGCTACTAATGGATGATTATCTATTCGGCAGGTCCGAGCTTATCGTCTTTTGTTAAATCCCTGGAACCGAAAGGACTAGCCATCCTTTGGTAATGTGGTTTTAAACTGCTCGCAGGTCTCGTATAGTCGAGATGGTCGTACTCCATTTCTGAAAAAAATCAATAAGTGGATTAGTCTATGTTATAACATTGGTAAGAATAAGATAATTATATTAAGTGTATTATAAAATATTCTGATTGTGTGTTCTAGATATGGTACGCATGCAATCAAGTTTTAAAATCTAGAGTTGTGTATACGAAGCATCTGTTAATTGGCAACCTACCCATTTTTATATACATCCTAGTGTAACCCTAATATTCCATTGAATAAAGCATGTCTTACTTTTTCGAAGAATTTTAGTAGTAGAAGTATTTTAATAGAAATTTATAGTGAACTTAGATTATGTCTGTCTATTATGGTACTATACTATAATTCAATAAGCTATGAAGGAGACGTAAACATTATCAAGTGCAGGCCTCTAACAGAACAGAATTTAGGATTATCTTTTCATTTGATCAGAAGTATAATCTTGTAAAATAAGAAATTTATATTTTTATTTAGTAAAAAATGAAAAATGATTGTTTTTAGGTGATATGCGACAATAGAAACGCGTCACTAAATCCTCGTCAAACCAATCCCATTGTGGCAACAGAAAGGAAAATCTTCACAAAGTGCATGAGGAAACGAGCAGATTATCCGTCAGCACTAATTTGCCAAATTGCGAATATACCATCAATAAAGGCAAATCTCTCAGCAAACAATACGTCTTCCGCACAATAGCTGGCTCTAACAACAGAACTAAGCAAACTCCTTGACACCGCCGAAGGCACATACTCACCAAACAAGAGTCCCAATTCCCTTTAGCCACGCTTCTACACTTTGCTGGTAACGAACTTCCTGATGAGTTCCAGAGCCGTTCCTAGTATGGCTGCATGGCTGGTAACACTGGAGGTGCCTTCTACTCATGGCTAGCCTATACTCTCCCTCATAGCGCTCCTTTTCTAAATCACCACCATCAAAGTCCCCGCTTTATAGCCGCACACCACTCTCTCGGAACCAAAGTTACTCGCCTCCCTCAAAAGCTCCCTCAAAAAAAGGGAGCAGCCCCTCCTTGAAGAGGCGTAAGCTTAAACTAGGCACTAACGTTCAGATTGATTCATTCATGTTTTGGGAGGAATTATCTTGACAGCAAGAAAGAATTTGGTCTCTTTACGCGAAGGCTCTTTAAATAGAGAAAAGTACATTACAGAAATTTTGTCTGAACAAGTTTTTCTTTTCGCACCTTATAAAAGAAAAAATTTCATCTTAATTTTATTGAATGTTTACTATTCAGACATTGAAGTTCCCTCACAGCCCCCACATGAATCCTATTGAACACTTATGGGATATTGTCGGTAGACAATTAAGACTTCATCAGCCCCTTCGTGCTTCCCTCAAGACATATAAACTATGATTATTATTCTCTGTAACTCCATAGACCAAAATCAAATAATAACCACTTAATATCCAGCATTTCTCGGCGATTTGAAGTTGTTATTAGAACTAGAAGTTGAACCTGACCATATTAGTTTACAATATGTTTATTTCTGTTTAGTACTGTTTCAGTTAAAACATATGTTAAAGTAAAACCGTCTATTTTCTTTGTTTTAAATGATCGGGGAAATTAAAAACAAAGTAAAATCACAGTAATATTTTGAATTTAAAAGTTGGGTTTCGTTTAGGTTTTGATCTGATTTTAGAAGAGGACAAGCAAGATAAAATGAAAGGATATGAGAACTGTAGATACTTCGAAACTATATTAAATAACTAAGAAGAGGGTAGACAAGAAATCAATGAACGAATGTCACTACGAAGGAAAGTAGTAAGCATATTAAACAATATATAGTGCGACAAAGAATAGCAAATAGAAAAATAAATGTATACAACACAAATGTAGATAGTATCGTATTATACAATAGGTACTGATATTTGAAGATGGATAAAATACGCAAAAAAGATTAAACGCTATAAAAATGGGCGTACGGTAAAGATCATGTAGAATAGCCTGATGGAGTAAGATACGAAGTAATAAAAGAAATTATTTAAAATGAAAAGATAATTATAGAGGAAGTGGGAATATAACAGCTCAAATGGTAGACACACGTAGTTTCCGAATGAATGACAAGCAATGGAAGAGAGCAACCTAAAATTGTAAATTCTCAGAGAGAAAAAAGCAAGGAAGATCGTAGAACGAAATAAGGAGTTAAAATCAGAAAAACAATGAGCAGCAGACGGGGATGAAGCTCACAGAATGGAAGATAACCATTATAAAGTAGTCTATATAAAAATTTTATTTATATGTAGGTATAACGTACAGTATAGTAATTTATTTTAAATGAGCACTTGACAACATTTAATTAACTTACTTGGTATACTTCCACATGTAAATACCTATTTAAAAACATGCGTATTAATCGCTTTCAAAAAACAAGTACTTAAGTTTTAATAATAAATATTTCGTAATTTATAAAAAATTTTTAATATTTAAAATTTTTAGATTTGGAGATTAACTTACCGATATTTACATCTTTTTGTTTAATTTCGTCATAAACGTGATCTAGTTTTTCAATACTCTGATAAATGTTCGGATTCGTCGCATCTGCTTCTCTATTTTTTAGAGTTCGTAGTTCGTCTATGGTCGGTTCGTACATACCTAAAAAAAATAGAAGCATAGAATCAAATCAATAAAAATAATACGTACTCTGATGGGAATGGAGTAAAAAAAACCAAAAGAAAATTAATAACTTAATATCGAATTTGACACTAACGAAAGTACTGTTAAGAACTTAACCGGATTCACATTGACCGGCCATCGAATTAACCGGCCTGTAAAGCGAACGACAACGCAATAAAATTCACCGGCGCGGTGATTCGGCTGGGATTACTAACAAAAACGGACGAAAGCCACAAAAAATATTAACAAAAACCATAAAAACCCGGGCAAGTAGAGCCCAACCCCTTGAGCACCAAGTCTTAAGCCTCAAGAGTCTCAAGAGCTTAAGTCTCTCAAGCGGAGACTTGAGACGCAAGTAAGCAATTTTAGATTCGCGGATAAGTCACATGAAGATAACAGGAATAAAGCGACTAACGCTAGCCTGAATTTTGGAGCTAGCCTACATGAAAAGCATTTGGCTCATAGTTGTGTCTCTATCGCGCATCAGAGTGCTATAGGGGGATAGGGATGGTCTATTTTTACACGAGTTAATACACCTCGCTTCAATGAATTGTTACACCCGAACGTAATTCTAAGGGGTGAACATTTCTCACAGGCTGGGTTTAATTAAATTGCTTGCTTGCTGTTTGATTCGGCTGAGATTCCTCGTTGTTACGAAGAGAGGATAGAGAGGATACGTAACAAAGGGGAATGTCGGCGAACCGAACCACAGCATAAGCATAACGATTTGTGTCTATGCTGTGACCGATCAGCCTATGTGTAATACGAACCTATCGTAAACGCATAGGCTTATTTTGTCGTTTTGATCATTTTAGTTTGTTTCTGCAATGAGTGTCCACTAATTGTTTCCTCAACAATGAATACAAAGCTCAACGAATTGTGATTTTAATGGATACACGTTTTAAAAGTGCTAAATCGGATTGATAATGGAAAATCCGTGACGAAAATGCGTAAAAAAAACCTGTATATGACTAATGAAGAGGTAGGCGTTCCATTTAGGAGTTTTACCCGAAAATAGAATCTGATAAAAATCTGGGTAGCCGTTCTAAGAGGGAAAAACCGATTTGCGAGGTGAAGCTTTAGGAGGGATACTAGGAAACAGAAACTTTTATTCTAGTAAAAAACCTTTTAGACCAAAATAGTACAAATCCAGTAATTACATCTGAAATATTACATCTTCTTGAAGTTTGCATAAACCAGGACTACTTTGAATTTAATAATAAAATATATACAAATAACAGTGCAGGACTTATAATGGGTAATCCTCTAAGCCCATTGCTATCAGATATTTTTATGGATCATCTAGAGACAAAAATTTCAAAACATCCCGTATTCAAACAGTTTTTATATTGGTGAAGATACGTAGACGACGTACTGGTATGTTTCACAGGAACTAACAGGCAACTCGACCAATTTTCATCGTATATTAATTCACCTCATAGTCATATTGAATTTACAATAGAAACAGAACAAAATCAATGCATAAATTTTTTAGATTTAAAAATTAGCAGACTTCAAAACAAACATGACTTCTCTATATTTCACAAACCTACCCATACTGACACGACTATACACAATTCATCATCTCATCCAACACAACATAAACTGGCAGCTTATCATAGTATGTTACATAGATTAACAGAAATTCCGATGTCAAAAGACAACTTTGAGACAGAATTAAATATAATTAAGCAAATAGCAGTAAACAACGGATACAACGAACAAACAATTAATAAAATGTTAAATCAAAAACTACACAAGAAAGCCCTGAAAATAGTATTTCCACCACCAGAGAAAATACCCAGTACCTTCTGCTCGATTACATATACAGGCAAAATAACAACAAAAATTGCCAAACATATAAAAAAGAAAGGAATAACACCAGCTTTCCGAACAAATAACAACCTAGGTAAATACATTAAAAATAACAAGAGCCAAAATAAAAAACACTTAAATAGTGGTGTGTATAAAATTCAATGTGGCGACTGCCCAAAAACTTACATCGGTCAAACTGGTAGAAACTTTGAGAAACGAATAGCAGAACATAAAAGGGCTTTCAAGAATAGAAAAACAGATTCGACATACGCACTTCACCTTCTAGATCATAATCATTCTTTTAATGACAAATTTAAAATTCTTCACGTTCAAAATAAAGGCCTTAAGCTATCTTTGTTAGAATCTATGGAAATCAATAAATTAAAAAACACAGATATAATTCTGAATGACCAACTTGAGACAAACAGTTCTCCCCTCCTCAACCTATTTCATTAGAGACTATAAATTGTAAACGCATGCCAAAAATAGATCACTTGAGAAAGGCTATCAGCCGAAACAGCTGTTGTGATAATAGTTAAAATAAATTTTGTGGAAGTTTGAAAACAAAGTTTTCAGTGTTTTATTGTTACATAAAATGAATTTCCATCAAGAAACGGTCGAATCCATCAATTATATAAATCGTATTTATCGCACAACTTTGTCTTTTTCATTTTTCATTTAATAATTTATCTATTAATTACAATTATTAATGTGTGAGTTTTGGCAACATCAGAGAATTCTGGATCGGTATACAGGTCTCAGAGAGAAGAGCTTTCCGCTTGCCAGAATTCTTCTGTTGTTGGATAAAACTCGTGCCATGACGAAATCCTCCTGCTGTTCTCTTCTCAACTCGGACCATACAATGTCTGCAAAAACCATGCCGCTAAGCCGAAACCATGTGGATCCCTCTCCAATCCAAAGCCATGCGGATTTTCAAAATCGAGATGGATTTCTTATTCCAAAAAAAAAAAAAAATCCATTTTCGTATTCTTCGACCAAAAAATCCATGTCAACGTAAATTTTCTTATACCATAATCAAGGTGGATTTTCTTGAATAAAAATCAAGGTGGATTCTCTTGAATAAAAACCAAGGTGGATTCTCTGAATAAAAACCAAGGGGGCTAGAAAAACAAAAACCGCTATAAAACTCGTCATGGCACGAGTTTTGTCCAACAACAGAAGAATTCTGGCAAGCGGAAAGCTCTTGAGACATGTATACCGATCCAGAATTCTCTGATGTTGCCAAAACTCACAAATTAATAATTGTAATTAATAGATAAATTATTAAATGAAAAATGAAAAAGACAAAGTTGTGCGATAAATATGATTTATATTGAATTATTATTATTACAGCAAAGGTAAAAAGAAAATAAAAATTGTAAGCAGTTTTTAAGTACTAGCGTACACAAAATTATACGAAAAACTAAAAGTGTTCTTGATTCAAGTATGAAAATATGTTGTTGTAAAAAGAGCAAAGTATTAACTTACCCAGACCGTTGGAAGTTTCTGACCACGAGGACTTATTTTTTTAATAATACCTTCTCGTTTGCTGGTTTATTTTAAAAGAAATTAAATCGGATCGGATTGATAGAAGTAAATTATTTAGGAGTGGGGTTTCTGTTTCTTGTACGATAAAGTAAGCGAAGGTAGGACTACGAGGGGACTTAAGAAATTAATCAGCGGAAATATTTGTAATAGGAAAATATTGAAATAAAATATAGGAATACAAACAAAGGAAAAAGAACTTATTATCAATGAAAATCAAATAGTAGGAGCAGAAAATAGTGGAAAGTACTTTGAAATTAATAAGAACAAAAATGTAACGTTTTAAACGTTACAATATTTAATTCAAAAAACAAACTTTGTTTACTCTAAGGGACTTTCGGTCCTCGGTAATAATGTAATCTTTCATTCTGCGTTTAAATTGTCTCTTAAGACAAAGGTCTTGTAGAAGTTAGCAAAAAGATAAATATCAAGACCGTTATCTACATGTTAGCCCTGTTCAACGTTTGTTAAACCTTGTTGCTGAATTAAATATTCACAACCTAGATATTTTAAACAATAAAAGTACCTATGATGTAAGATAAATCCAGTGGCGGGTGTTGACATGCAAAATTTAAGAAATCACTATTTACAAAATTGTAATCAACGTATCTAATGCCCGAAATAAAAAGTGTTGTCGGTTTGTTTTACTTTCTCTTATTCCTACCTTTTGACAAATCATCATCGTCTGTTGAACAACAACCTCCCAGTCGTGCTCTTTCTAAATTAGTATTCGATGGTTTATGAAGATTGTTATGAATTTTAGTCGAATTGTTGAGCAACTTGTCATTGTCTCTCTTGCCATTACCTTGATAAGAATATACTGGATTATCAAAATGATTTCGATCTACAATTTAAAAAAGAATTGATCAAAAACATGTACATCATAAATATATTTTCTATAAATCATATTATGATAAACAATATTGTCAAAAATTAGTCGCAGGATTAGAATAAATATTCGATAATGTCAAAAACCAGCAAAATAAGAGCAATAAATCAAAGCTGTAATTTTTAATCAATGAGTAGACGTTTTATATAAATGGTTTATATTTATGTATACATGAAATAGTTTTTATTTTTACGAGTCAGTTGAGGCAAAGGACTGGTCAGGGTAGCCTTTGGGGAGATTCTTAAAGTTATTCCTGGACTTATTGGTAGGTCCATGCAGAAGTTTCTATGTTGCGGTGCCTTTCCGGACTACTAAAGCCCAACTCATGATTAATTCTAAATTTTCTCTGACGACTGGAATGATCACTGCTCACTGTAGACTTAAAAATTTATTCCAGTTAATGGACAATCCAATGGATGACGTTTGTGATAAGAAGGAAACATTCTCACTCTACCCTGTGTATCGTACCCAGTCCTAGCCTATCAGATGTGGCAGTTTATCTAACTGAACTAACTCAAGAGATGGTTTCATTTACAAGAAAGCTTGTGGCTTTCTGCAAGGCCACAGTCTTTTAAAAGATTAAATTCGTAGAGCAGTAATGCTGACTTTGATCTTGGTGTAGATCTACACCGCTCTTCCTAGAGAAACAAAAAGGGGCTAGACAGAGCTAGGTCCTCTAACAAACCTCCACTATCACAGTTGCCTAGTCCGAGAACTCCTGGTATAGAGGAATTCCTCTAAACCATTATCACAACCATAATTTTATTTGACATTTAATGATAACTTAATTACGAATCTATGCATTAACTTATGGCTACCATAACGTTAAAAAGTGCACATTCGATTTTATATATTATTTTAGGAAAGAGCGTTAACAGGTGGCAGGATGACTTACCTGGAGCAAAGTTAGGATCAGCAATATACTGAACGTGAGCGATCTCTGTCTTCAAATTAGATACTCGTCTCCTATAATAGAAGACCAGTAAAACTACTACCGCTATAAATATAATGGAAACCATCACTACGGCGACAACAACACCGTATCCTCCTTCTGCAGGTTGCTCTACGTGCCGCACTCGCCCTAAAACGTTGGAGTCTTCGCAGTGATCTCCTATGAAGCCATGTTTGCAGATACAGCCCTCTACTGGATGACAGATGAAATTGTCGTTCTCACATTCACAAGGTGTCATGCAGTGGTCTCCATAGTAGCCCTCTGGACAAACTAAAAATAAAAAAAGTAATAAAAAAAGAGCGTGGCACTTAGGGAGTACCTACAGAAGCGAATACTTCTTATAGCGTCTTATAACTATATGTAGGTTAATGAACTTTTATGTCTGATTATTACTGAATTGTCAATATCTTTTATAATAACAGTACACAAGTCCTTTAAAATTAAAAAAATCTTAATTTTTCTCTTCAAAAATGTTGTTTAATAATTTTAGTAATTTACAAAATTTAATAAATATAATATTTATAAAATTGATTCAACAAATACATTTTCATTATTATCTTATATTTATGCTTATTCATTTTGATTATTAATTATATTAATTAATTTTCATTAAAAACTTTCTATTTGTATATATATATATATATATACATATATATATGTAACTCTATTGAATTTTTACAATTTTCATAATTTTTTATAACTTTATGTATTTCATTTAACTTCTCGGTTTTTCGAATCATGCATAATAGGATTTCGGGCCCATGCAAAACCGAGCAGTAAGAAGTATTCACTTCAAAAGGAAAACGTCAATTTAAATAATATAAGGATACTAAATAAACGAATAAGCCACAATTAAAGGTTAAGGTACGTTTATTGACGTTTCAATTTCCACTTCGGAAATCGTTCTCAAAATACAAACATTAGAAAATTAAACAAATTTTGTTTTTGGTCACTTGGTGAAAAATTCTTCTACTAATTTAATTTAATCTGACTCATTTATATTGACAATTCAGACATACATTATACATTTTTAAGTAGATGAGTTTAAAATGATATTGCCAATATTGTTGATATTTTCAGTCGGTAACACCACATTTCCAATGCTTCCAGGTTTTTAATTTTGGACTATTTCAGTGTCCAGGCTTCAACCTCATACAAAAGGGCGAAGAAAATATAACATCGAAGCATTTTTATCAGGAGCGTTATATTGATATAACGATTACAGAAAAGTTTTCTCATTTTGTTAAAAGTTGACCGTGAAATTTCAATGCGGCATCTTGTTTCTTTTGTCTGATCAGTATCTTCTGTGATCCATGCCCCAAGGTATGTATGTGAAGATATTTGCTTAATTTCTGTATTATCTAGTATTAGCTTAACTTTGATGTTTTGTGATTTTGGAAATACCATGAACTTGGTTTTCTTCAAATTTATTTTTAGTCCATAATAGCTGCAATGTATATTTAGTTGTTAAGCAAACTGTTGCAGTTCTTTTAGTGTTCCCTTCAGTAGGACGGTCTCGTCCGCATATCTTATGTTATTAAGTGACTCAACGTTTATTATTGGGCAACTAGGCACCGTTTATTATAGGCTGTATAAATTAAACAGAAATTGTGATAAAATACACCCTTGGCGCACCCCACGACGAATCTGCATATCCTCAGTCATTTCATTTTCAACTTTCACTTTCGCTGTTTCATTCCAATAGAGGTTACGTATAATTCGAATGTCTCTACTGTTAATGTTTTTATTTAACAAAATTTCTTTGAGACGATTATGCTGCACTATATCAAATGATTTCTCAAAATCAATGAAACAGGTATAAACTTCCGGATTCACATCTAGGCATCTCTGCGAAACACTCACTGCAAACCGTGTATCCCGTGTTCCCAGACCTTTTCAAAATCCCATGTGTGTATTACGTATTCCTTACGTATACACTCCTTTGAATTGATTTTTTGGGACAGTATAAATGTTGATTGAAGCCAGTCTTTAGGAATTATAACTGTTCTATATAATGGTATTGAACAGATCCAAAAGAAGGTCAATAGTTTCAATTTTGTGTAATTCGATAGGAACTTCATTAGGCCCGGGAGATTCACCACTTTTGAGCTTGTTTCTATAATTGTTTCTATATTGTTAATACATTCTAAAACTTTACTTACGCTCTGTACATTGTGTACCAGTCCATCCAGCTTGGCACCTACACACTCCATCGTTTCTTCTACATATGCCTCCATTCAAACACTTACAATGTTGACTACAGTTCATTCCAAAGCTTCCTGAAGGACAAGGTGTTGTGCAGTTTCTTCCTATCCATCCGGGTAGGCATTGGCAGAATCCTAAATAAAAAGGCACATATTTTAGTTTCACAAAATAGCTTCTTTCGCTTTGTAAATCTCTAGTGTATTCATTTTTAATAAGTAAGTTGTGGTGTCTTTTATACTAAGAGAATAAAACAAATAAAAACGTTACCTGTAACATGATGACAGTCACCACCGTTTTTGCATGAACAGCTCTGTAAGCAGTTCTTTCCGTACTTTCCTATAGGACATGGGTGTTCACATGTAAGGCCGAGGTATCCAGGAGGGCAAACATATTCTCCGGTTATATGATCACATGTTTTGTTTCCTACAATAATACAAAATAGCTTAACAAACATTAACGATACTCGATATAAAAAGTAACTTGAAACTTATTTATATATTTCAGGTCATTACAGTAACCAAAATTAAGAATTTTAATCATAAGAAAAATTCTCAACAGTTACATCAGCTTCAATTATTCAAATTATTATTATTATAATATTAATATATATATATATATATATATATATATATATATATATATATATATATATATATATATATAATATTAAGATAATAAATTAGCTGCTTATCTAATCTAATATAAAAATCATGTGCAATTCGGAACCTTTATGATCATCATGTAAATATGTATCATGTAAAGTCACTCTGTAATCATATATTAATTACTATTTTAGAGCCACATAGACTTTCCTTTTAAATGTACATGTACAAAAGAAACTAAACTCTTACCAAGAGAAACTGCTGGGCACTCTTGTCTGCATCCTATTCCGTAAAAGCCAGCTTCACAAGGAGTAGTACACTCTTCTCCTTGCCAACCTCTAGCACAGTAGCATTTTCCGGTCTCTGGATCACAGGAACTGTTGTTTTTACAATTACAGGTTTGTTCACATGTCTCCCCGAACTTGCCCTCTGGACAGATAGATTCACACCTTACACCTATAAAATTAATAAAACCATTATTAAGAACGGTCGTCTATATTATTTAAAGGAAATGTGTGCAACAAAGACATACTACAAGACCTACAAGTGCCAACTGTGAATGACTTGATAGTGTCAGATAGTGATAAATATTTACAACGATTAGAGAACCACCCAAATATGTTAGCGATAAATTTATTGGACAATAGTTAACAAACAAGACGCCTGAAGCAAAAATTACCATTAGATTTACCATTCTTGAGTTAAGAATTATTAAGCAATAAATTAAACAAATTTTGTTTCTTTTGTACTTGGTAAAAAATTCTTCTGGTAATTTAGTTTTATCTGACTTAATTTAAAAGTCTAATAAAATTAAACAAAACATAAGCAAAGAGGAAATACATGCTGTCAGAACTTTAAAAAATGATGACTAAAAAATTCAATAAAACAAAATTAAGAGTAGAGTACGAATCCAGGAGGAACATGAAAATAAATTTAACGGTATTAGGATATTTCGAAAGAAAAGTACTACGGCGAATGACAATGGAGTGTGGAGAAGACGATAAAACTTCGATACCAAATATCGTAAAATACATTAAGATAGGATATGACGTCTGAGGTGGGTAGGACATGTAATGCATATGAAATCTCATCGATCTAGAGAATATTTCTTCATAGAGTTCCTTAATATCATCGGTGAAAATATGAGAAATATTAGAAAACTTGCTTCGAAGAGGAAGACGATGGATAGGAACGACTGGAGATAAATTCTTGGCTAGAACCCATTCAGGGTTGTAAAGTCAGAACGATATAATCATATTTTTGGTCATATTTTTCATATACCGTTTGTATATCCTCTATCTAGCTCAGTCGTTTACTGCATTATCGTTTATCATAGACGGCTATTTTCATTATTATTCCCCATTCTCTCGTATATACCTTTATACACTTGTTGGTTGGAGACCTAGAGAAGACAAAAGACACCGAGGCAGACCACCAAAAAGATGGATGGACGACTTGAGAAAAACAGTCGGAAATTGGATACAGAAGGCGCAAGATAGAGAACAGTGGAAGAACATGGAGGAGACCTATATCCAACAGTGGATGCAAGAGGTTGAGGAATGATGATGATGATGACTTGTTGGTATTCTCCTTTACAATTTTTCAAGTTGTTCTTGTTTTCTAAAGCACTACATTTCTAAGATATCATAGGTCCAATAGGTTTTGCCAGTGATGACCTACGGCGCAGAAACCCTAACGCTCACAAGAACAACAGTGAGTAAACTACAAGTTGCGGAAAGAGCAATGGAGAGAATTATGTTAGGGATTTCTCTACGTGATAGAATACCCAATGCTACTATACGCAAAAGATCAGGAGTAGCAGACGTTATTGAAAGGATAACAACACTAAAGGTCCGTGTATGGAGAAGAGCAGCCACAGACAGACAAGGGTGGAGGCAAAAAATAAAGGAGGCCAAGGCTCATTTTGGGCTGTAGTGCCGTAGAAGAAGAAGAACAACACTAAAGTGGAACTGGGCAGGTCATGTAGCAAGATCAGTTGATGACCGGTGGACAAAAAGAATTTTGGAATGGAGACCCCGAATACAAGCTTACAGAAATAGAGGTCGACCCCCAACGAGATGGACAGATGACATAAAAAGAGTGACTACAAATTGGATTCAGATGGCGCAAAATCGGACTAAGTGGAAAAGCATGCGAGAGGCCTATGTTCAGCAGTGGACGTTAGAGGCTAGTTGATGACAGGTCCAATAGCTGTTGCGTATATTTTATTTTTGAACCACTCGACACTAATATTGCCTTGATGATATTCTGTAGGCAGTAGAAACATTGGTTTTCAAGTATAATTCTTTCTGTTACCTAATGTAGTTATTGTTTTCATCTATGATTATTGGCCAATGTAATTTGAAATTGTCAATTCTTTCAAAAAATTCAATAATTGAGATCTTCTCATCCACGTTTTGTCTGTTGATGCCTTTAAGGATGTTAATATGGAAAACCCATTCTTGTCGCATGTTTGAAATACGTAAGCATCTGGATTAACTCCTGTAATTTCCAATTTCGACATTTATTGGACCAAGAAGTGAGAGATTAAGTACAAAGAGCAAATAGACTGGCAGGATGCCTTAATAACACTATATGGCGAAACAGACATATTGATACTGAGATGAAGTCAAGAATTTATAAAGCCAGTGTAAGACCAATAATGACATATGCCTCAAAAATAAGACCCGACATAGCCACAGACAGGACTCAGAAGAATTACAGGAAATACGCTAAGAGACCGAATGAGAAGTGGACACATTGAAAGAAAATGTAACCTACAATAACTATTTTTCTGTTTTACCAAAATATGGAATATTACGAAAAAACTTTGATATTAGAGAATAAACTAACAAGGAATAACTTTCAAGGTTTCATAATTATGTTGCGTAAAATAGTTTTAAATTACTGAAATATATATATAAATATTTTCTGCTAATAAGATATGTATTAGAGTAGTTCTATAGTTTATTCGTCTTCCGGGTTTGGACCGTGTCATTTGTGAGTGACCCAAAAGTGGGTTCATCTCGACGTTTCGCTACAATTGTATGTAGCTTCTTCAGGAGAACAAAGAAAAAGAAATCAAAAGACAGGAAGATGGGTAGTTAGCAACGGTAACTCAGTTACTCAACGCAACCAGAGGCGAATACTATCTACCAAGATGGGCATTTGGTCACAGTAACTCAACTACTTAACGCAGCCAGGTTCTACCCTCTCCTAAGGACCCATTACCGCCCCTATCTTCCTGTGATGTCTATTCTATTCCTTGTTCATGTGGACATGTGTATATTGGCGAAACTGGTCGTTCCGTCAAAACTCGGATTCAAGAGCATCAAAGATGCATTCGATCAGGTCTTTTCTCCCATTCTGCAGTTGCAGAACACTGCCAAGTAACCGGTCATTCCATATTGTTCGAAAAAACCCATATTATTTCTAAGAGCCCCCTTCTTTTATTCCAGGAAAATCCGCGAATCTCTAGAGATCCGAAAAATCCACATAATATCAATCGAGAGGAAGGATACTACCTGTCTCCCATCTGGAATCTCAGTCTAGAGCCGCCGTCCGGTCCCGCTAGCACGATGCAGCCACATGATTGGCCAGCGCGCGCTTCTTGACGTTCGCGCCACGGAGTGTGCCGATACGTCCCGACACGACAGGTCACCGCGACTATAAATAGAGCGGTAGCGTCGGATTCACTCCCCGCCTCTCGACGCGTTAGTGTTCTGTGCTGTTGGACGTTGGACGTGAATCCCTGTCCTGGCATTTGGTTTTCATCTCTGGCTGCGTTAAGTAGTTGAGTTACTGTGACCAAATGCCCATCTTGGTAGTTAGTATTCGCCTCTGGTTGCGTTGAGTAACTGAGTTACCGTTGCTAACTACCCATCTTCCTGTCTTTTGATTTCTTTTTCTTTGTTCTCCTGAAGAAGCTACATACAATTGTAGCGAAACGTCGAGATGAACCCACTTTTGGGTCACTCACAAATGACACGGTCCAAACCCGGAAGACGAATAAACTATAATTCTGACTCTGGCCGTGGAAGCCTACGATTTCATTAGAGTAGTTCTATTTTTCCACATGTGAGTGCATAAGTCATAATTTGAGAATAAATGAACATTTTGCTTCTCTAACTTAGTGTAATGTTTATTTAAATTGTTTTAACATATATTGTTGTTAAAAATCAAAATGTTAATAACAAAATCATTCAATTGTTGTTCAAGACTTTGAACTGTAAGTAAGCGAAAAAAAAACAATTGACAATTTCCATTTTCAATTTTCCAAGACGTAAGCAATTAATCATCGATCAAGGTGACAATATGTTTAGTTCAAGGCAAAAATATAGAAAAATGAATCATAAAGAAGTCATCGTTCGTAAATAGACTACTTAATTTAACAGCAGAGGTTAGAGAACTGATTTTCATGTATATGAATTACATAAATTTCAAGAAAATAATAAAAACCGAATCATATATCTAAACTTTATTTGGTATTGATAGAGAGTAATAAATCGCTGCCAATTAGTCATTCGTTAGGCGCACCAGTGTATATGCGTACAATTTTTCAAATTTATTGCCGTTGATATCCACGATAACTAAGAAACTAAATAATAATTTTAGCAAAAAAGTGCCACAATAAAAGATTTATTCTTCACTACGCTTTACCAAGGCATGTCCAAAATTGTAGTCATAAAGTGTACAACTCTCGTATACTTTATTCTAAAATATTTATACTGATGCAATACTGACAAATACTCTGAAATCCTAATTGTATCAGACTGCGACTTCAAATACTTAAATACAACATCATTAGAATAATTAGGCAACTCTTTTCAAAATTTGCTTTTATATATACTAGATACGCTACTGAACGTAGAAATGCATTACATAATAATATATTCAACAATTATGTGACTAAGTCAATGAACATAATTCACATCTAGTCACCTGTAATTATTAATATAGATAAAAATCGTACTACAAGCCTAATAAATAAAACATGTTGTTAAAAAAAGAAAAGTACTAAAATGGTGCATGCAAGTATTACTTCCTGTCTATGATTAATAATGATGATTCTATACTAAGTTGTCGTAGGTGTAAGAATAATTGGCAAAGCAAATTAATCTTGCAAAATTTGTAAGCAACGCGTTCATAACTCTTGTGGAGCGGTGATGTGAATATACCCCCTTATTCGGAGTTAGCATCATTTAATAGCATAGTCATAAATCAAATTTTAGGGGAACATCCAAACTACGTCACTATATACACTGATGGATCACAAAACACCGATGGTACAAGTTGCGCTTTCGCCTACCTGTAAGATTACAGAAAAATATAAGTTAAACAAAAACATATCTATTTTTACAGCTGAGGCAATAACAATTCTAAAAGCATTAGAATAAATTCATCATGAGGAGGATAAGAAAAATGAGACACTTTTAGAAACACAATTATTCCAATTAATGAGTCGAATTAACGTAAGACCGACGAAACAAAAATACCATATATGACATCTAAGGTACTAGAACTAATAGACAAAAAGGACTAGGTAAAAATAAGAATGTGGACAGATATAATGAGAAAACTACGGAAAAAGAATCTTTACTTTAGACCTATACCACCAGTGATGATGAGGAATGGTTCGTTTGCATGGTTGCTAATTTGATGGAACTATATATACAGTGCTTTTCAGATAAAACTATCCACCTTTAATAACTTTTGAACTTCTACTTTTTAGGAAAAACGCAAAAACACGTCAATTAATATTTGAAGGGGAAAACATTATATCATATTTAAGGTTGTTGGGAAATGCACCCTCTCACCCCCCGTATCATCGCTTTATTTTTTTTTAATTACTTCCCCCTTTTTTTATTTTATATTTGCATTCTCCTTTTTCTACAATTGACTGTAACAACATAGGTTGTAGAATAATTTAAACTTTTTAAATATTTAACCGTACTATTTCTAGTACCTTCACAAACAAAGAAAGAAAAAACTTCACTTTTTATTAAAGTTTTATCAAAGGTTTTCGATACTATTTGGACATTTATTTTAATCAGTTAATAGCAAATGACAATTTGTTTTAACTTGTAATAACTTGTTTTGATACGGGTGCAATTTGATCGCTAAAATGGTTTACACTTTGCAAGAAAGAATCTAAATTGTAGGTTTATACTACAAAAATAATAATTGTGCAAGTGCTGCTGCTAGAATTTTTAATGAAACATACCACAATAAACATGCAACTCATAAGTATGTAATTAAACTGATGCAGAAATTTAGAGCAACAAGGTCAGTTTGCAATAAAAAATATAACCGACAGGGACTTGTTAATAACGAAGCAATCCAAGTAGCTGTTTTAGGGAAAGTTAACTTAGAGGCTGAGCAATCACAGTCACTGTCAACAATAAGCAGAGCAATCGGTGTTTCATCTTCTACAGCCTCCCGAATCCTTCATAAATTTAAGTTTCATCCATATAAAATTAAATTGGTACAAGAATTAAATGAAGAAGATTTTAATCGCCGTCTTGAATTTTGCGAATTAATGACACAATACATTTGTTAAACAATATTTGCTTCTCGGATGAATGCCCATTCTCCTTAAATGGTTTGGTGAACAGACATAATTGCCGATACTGGGCTGAGAGTGACCCACATGTTGAACGTGAATTTCACACACAGCATCCTCAAAGGTTAAACGTATGGTGTGGTATCCTAGGTGATCACATTATCGGACCGTTCTTTATCACTGGAAACTTCAATGGTGCATCGTATCTTGAATTACTTAGGCAAGTACTCGATCGCATTAGAACAATAGTAGAAAATGATGATAACCTTTCCGAAGATTTGGTTGTATTTCAACATGATGGAGCTCCTCCACACTTTGCTTCACCTGTGCGACAATTTTTAAACGAAACGTTTTCCGGTCGTTGGATAGGTAGAAGAGGACAGATGATGGATTGGCCACCTAGGTCACCGGATTTAACACCCCTAGACTTCTTCTTATGGGGGTATTTAAAAACAAAAATTTATGCTACGCAACCAGAATCTCTAGATGATTTACGACAAAGAATACAAGATGAATGTCGACAATTAAATGCAAACGTGTTAAGAAACGTCAGGGAAGAATTTCAAAATAGATTGTACTATTGCATGGAAGTGAATGGCGGCCATTTTGAACAATTATTGTAAGAATTTTTGATAGTTAAATATTCATTTTAAATGTTTGTAATAAAATTTTATTATTTTTTGTAATAAAATTGTATTATTAGATTATTTTTTTTCAGTCCAGTTTTCTTGCTTTTGTATTTATTTTTCTCATAAACAAATTATTTCAACCATCATGTGTTATACATTTCTAAAATCAGTACAAAGAGGAGAATCCAAATATCAAATAAAAAATGGGGAAGTAATTAAAAAAAAAGTGAAGGGATGCTACGGGGGGTGAGAGGGTGCATTTCCCAGCAACCTTAAATATGATATAATGTCTCCCCCTTCAAATATTAATTGACGTCATCATCTTGGTGCTACAGCCCTTAGAGACGTATTTTTGCGTTTTTCCTAAAAACTAGAAGTTCAAAAGTTATTTAAGGTGGATAGTTTTATCTGAAAAGCACTGTATATACTCGATAATATAATAGGCTAAAAATATGTAAAATATAAATTATGAATCATTGGTTAGTGCTTATTAATAAGCACATTTCCTCTGCGAATTCAATAAAATATCACAAAAGTACCCTTTCACTTTTACAAAAAGAGTACTAAAAGTACTCTTTTTATACTGAAATATAAGCTAAGCAATCCTACCTTTCCATTGCGGTTTGCAAATGCACTTTCCAGTGACAGCATCGCATCCAAGATGGTGTCCTTCTTGACAAGTACAGAATTGCTCACAATTGAGTCCAAAGTAGCCTTGCTCGCATTTGCTTTCGCAAAATTCTCCAGTAAATCCAGCCCCACAAGTACAACTACCTATATAACACACCATGCAAAATAAAAAAAAACGTAAACAAAGAAAACTAACATTTTATTATTCTTATATGCATGCTCTATTATATTCAGTCTCTATATCCGTTTCAAAAACCTTTAAAATTTCTAATAAATGAGTGCTGAAAGGTCAACAATACATCAAATATTTACGATCCGATACATATTAGAAAAAAACTGGGAATTCAACCGAGATGTAAATACACCAAATTTTCGAAGATTTCCATCAAGCATATGATTCGATAAAAAGAAGTAGACTGTGGATAGCAATGCTAGAAATTGAAATACCAAGAAAATTAGTGGAGCTAACTTAAATATGCGTGACATATTTATATGCACAGGTAAAGATATACAACAGAACATCGATGCCATTTAGTATAACATCAGGACTTAGAGAGGCGATAAGGAGACCTCTTATCACCGTCGCTATTCAGTTTGGCCTTAAAATATGCGGCAATATACCCGTTGACAGCGGGATTTGGAAAATGATCAAAACTATGGTTCGCCTTTGCTGATCATTCAGCTGCAGCCGCTCATTCTACAAGAGATGTGAGAGAGAAATTTAAATGAAGATAAGACGCAATGCATGCCAGTAACCAAAAATCCAAGACCAGGAAGAACATAACTATTAATAACCACAACTTCGAAGTGGTAAAAGAGTTTTAATATCTGGGGTTAATAATCACAGATTTATCATCTCATAGAAAAAGAGGTCTCAGCAAGGATAGCTGCGGGAATAGAGCATTATACTCTCCCTAGTATCATTATTAAGATGTAGTAGTATAAGCAATTATCCGCCCAGTTGTTACATATAAAGTGAAACATGAACTCTACTTCAGCGTGAAATAAATAATCTGCTGGTATCTGAAACGAAGGTTCTCAGAATGATAACTAGATCTCGAAGAGATGAATTGACAGGAGAGTGCAGAAGGCACGGCAATGCTTAATTGGTGACTCTGTATGGTATTTAAAACATCGTCAGACATATAAAAGCTAACCATATAAGATGCAGGTCATGTAGAACGATCAGAGAAAGATACAGTGCTAAAGACAGTGTTTTTTGTGAGACCAGACGGTAGAAGATCAAGAGGCCGTCCCAGAAAAAGATGGAAGGATAATGTTAAAGCTGCTTTATCTAGGATTGGTCTCTGAACAATGGGAAATGGAATCGCAAGATGGTGGAAGATAAAGAGCTACAGTGAATGTGGCGAAGACTCACCCCGAGTTGTAAAGTCAGTCAAGAATATGTGTTAACAGTTCAAATGAAGATAATCCGTCTGGCCGGTTATTAAGATATAAAATTATTTCTAAAACCATTTCTTATTATTATTAGCGAATCATGTCAAGTAGTGGTTATGATATTAAACTTATTTGGCTTATCAGCGTCTTAAAAAAAAGTATTTGACAGAATAGTAATATTCCTTTTGGCTTTAACTGACATTGATATTTGTTTCTTTATTATTTCTTGTAATCTCATATTTCTTTAATATGTTCTTTATACAGAACAGTTATTGGTTACAGAGGAATTATCTAAATAAATATCATAAACCGGGATCAAAATAATACATAATGTATAGTACATAATACATTTCCAGTTGGTCTAGAAACTTAAAAAGTTTCTAAACGACTACCTTTATCTGTTTTGAAGCGGATATATAAATATTCACTACACATGCCTAAAATTCTTAGCAAGAAACTTACCGTTAACAGGATTGCAAGAAGCACCATTTTTGCAAACACATTTTTGGCTGCAATGAACACCGAAAGAATTGTTACTGCATGGTCTATCACATTGCTGACCCTCCCAACCGGCTGGACACTGGCACTGGCCTGTTTCGGAAGAGCAATTTGCACCATTTTTACCTGTAATTCAACGTGGTTTTATTAAATCATTGTTAGATATGCTAACACGAACTAAACTCCAAAAAAAAACAATAAGAAATAAGATTTTGTATTTTTTTACCAGATTTATTATAATATTTAAGTTATCATGATAAGTCTTCTAATTTCTGCTGTCTACATTTGTTTATTTCCTGATTTGTTGCAGTGTTTTTGCTGTATATGTCATTCATGATGGAATTACTGATTTGCAAATCATAGATTTTACTTATTTGTACTTGCTGAAGCTCAATGATGAACCACACCCTATGTGTCAAGATATTAATGACTATGGTGATGAATTCAGCTTTATTTCAACTTTGAAAAAATTAGATATGTCAACTTCCAAGTAATATGTACAATTTTGTTGGTCAAATATAACATGTATGACGTATCATTAAATTGTTATAAAGAAAACGTTATTAAAATAGTTTGAACCACACACCTTTATTTTTATCATTCTATTCTCACTAAAAGCTTTTTTAACAGTCGTTTATAAAAACATTTTATTGCTTTTGAATTTACAAACTAGAAAGAAATAAAAAAGATCGAAAAATCTCCCATAGCTTAACAATTACTATAAAAGGCTCGCTTTCTTCCCACGAAAATGAGAAACACATCCTTAGTTTATCTCGCACTCCATGTACATATCCGGCATAGCAAAGTAGTCATTTAAACTTACTTATTTTTAAGACAAATTGTAAAATAAAAGTGCTTGTAAAATTAACTGGGTCCGAATAGAATAAAAATATTTAAACTCGCAGTCTTCTTAAACTTGTTCAACATCGAACTATACATTGCTTTAACGAAGATTAATTAATCGGAGTATTTTATAGGAGTATACATAGAAAATTGGTTCTCGTCTTATATTGGAGGAAAGGAACATCCACAACACCATCATATTATTTAAATCACGATAGATTGAGGAGGCGCCAGAAGTTTTACAGAATTTTTTGCTTTGAGTCTGCTTATAGAATGTTAATGACAGTTATAACTTTAAATTTGTTATTTCAATCTAGTTGAAATCGTTTTTCAAATATATAACAAGGGTGCGGGTTGCTATATAATTCTTCAATAGATTTATATATGTAAAAAGTATCTTTGGCGTAAATTAAGTCTTATAAAAAACTTTTTAATCTAATATTAGAATGTTTTTTTTCTAATATAAACTTACAGTCACATTTTTGAGCACAATCTTCCCCAAAGCTACCTTCAGCACACATCTTCTCACAGTGTTTACCAGTAAAACCTGGTGGACAGATGCAAGTACCGTTTACAGGAGAACATTGAGCGTTGTTCTCGCATTTGCACTGTTCATGGCAACCTTTTCCATAAGTCAAGATAGGACATAGTCTGGTGCAGTCTTGAGAATTCCATCCCGCTTTGCAATCGCAATCGCCCGTCCATGGATGACACCTAGAATTAACATTAGTTAGTAAAAAAGTGATAATAAAATATATAAATATTCAAAAATTGTCTTTTTTATTTATTTTTCAAATTATAATTTTTATACGAGATATAAAAAATCTCGTTATCATCTCGTAAATCATTATTTCTGTTATATCTACTAGTATATAATTGGTCGCAGAAAATTACCTCATTTCATGATTTATGAGAGCATTCAAGTCGAGCCGCGCGAATAAGGGTGTAACATAATTTTTCAATTTTCTCACATGCGAAAAATTATGTCATTTTTTCGCTGTATTATTAACTATCCTTATATCACAATTGTATAATCATTATCCTAGTCCAACCGTTAATAACCCTTCCTACTTACAGTTCAACCCCCTCCCTTACGAAATACAGACAGTTCTAAGATAGCAAAGAAGAAACTCACTCTTTTGATGGTCGTCCGTCGCTAAGGACAGATCATTCTCTCACTCTCTTGATGGTGGCCCTCCGCTAAGAACAGACCATTCTCAACTCTCTTAGTTTGGCCATCACTAGAGCCAGACGTTCTCTCTCTTGATCTCTCTCTCTTCGCTTATCAAGAAGAACAGCATCTATCTTGGTTGTTTTTCTATCGTAATTATCTCTTTCCCGCTTTAGTTACGCGAGAAATATCGAAAATACTGTATTAAATCGTGTGAAGACAAAGTGTGCTCTATATAGTGATATATTTGCGAAACACGTGTTCAGAAACCAGTGCATCGGACAGACGTAGACGTAAGACTTTCTATAAACTTAATTTGCTATTGTCTGTATACCTTTTATTACATATCCTAATTTTATTAAACCAGCCCTATATAATACAGTCCACATACACGGAAATTATACTAATAATTTCCCACATATGTACTCCCTTTTTGTACAATAATTAAAAATATTAGATATGGCGGATGAAGCATGTGTTAGTGTGTGGCCACAGAAAAACAAATAAGTCTCGAAAAAGAAAAATGAAGCTTAGTGAGTGGAAGGACAATTAAAGAAAAATCCTACGAGACACTGGGAAGCAATATATTTCCAGAAAAGGTGCTGTAGTTCCTGAAAAAGTACCTCCAGTAAACGTAAGTACAGAAAATTGTATTTATTGCCTGATATTTAAGTAACTAAATAGCTTTAGACATACAAATTAGGTTAACAAGGTTAATATAGGTAATTTTGTAAATATGTTTAACACTACTGGAGCGTGTCAAACTATACATTTTTAAAACGCTTGCATAAAAATGTGTTTAATCCTAATTGAAAGCAACGTTTAAATTTGAATGAACTATAGAAAAAAAATTTTAATACAAAAATAAGTAAACTGAAATTTTGTTGGCAACTATTCAACGCGTTTTTTTGTTGTAGGCTAGAACGTGTCGCTGTAAATATGGGTTTGACAAAAGTAACTTCTAGCAAAAACAATTGATTTTTAAACAATTCTACAGTGTTAGCTACGATAGAGAAACAATGTTGTTATGCCAATATATGGATTTAGTAGATGTGAAAAGACGATATGAGGCGCTCCGTGGACAAACGGCGAATACGCTAAATGGGCATTTTGAGAAAAACGCGATTAAAGTTGAAAAAGTGTTTTTAATTCAATAAGGGCGAATATACACGTCATCAAAATTTTGTAATGCGGTTAGGTAAAAACTATTTTTTTTATAAAAAGTTTTGCTTGTTAAGCAAATAAGATCACCCCATCTAAACCAAAATTATAATTCAGGATATTGAAAAAAGTTTTATTCAAAGGATATGATATGAAAAACATTTTTTAATTAAAAATTGTTCTATTTAAGATAAATCAAAAACTAAAAAAACACCAAACAATAAATTATTAATTCAAGCAAAAATCCATAACATCATCCTGACTTTCTCCAGTTAGCGTTGCCAAATCGGTTTGTGATTCTTGGAGAGAGATCAGCTCATCAAAGAAACTCCTATGATGAAGCGGTATGTATGGAAGAAGTGACTTGATGTCTTTTATTTTTTCCTCTGAAAGTTTTATAGGCTGTTGGTATTTAGGAGACAAAACTGCGGCAGATAAATCAAACAAATGGCGTTGATATTCTCCTACTTTTCCTTTCTGCAAAACAACTTGTTCGGACAAAACATTTTGGTACGTTGGTTGTACGGAAAACCCTTGTTTGAACAACTTGGAATAAAGAAATACTTTACCATCTTTAAAACTAGCAGTTGATTTTCTTTTTGTAATTAACTTCTGAAGAGCAGTGAAATCAAAAAACATTGATGATGTCATTTTTACTACTTTGAATGGTCTGACCTTCCTTGATGAACGAATTAAGTCAATATAGTGGTCTTCAGAATAAACATCAATATTTCGAAGCCTTAACACAATATGACCAAAATCCCTGTCACAAGGTAAATATGAATGTCCAGGAATCATAAAGTAATGTTCTATGAAATCAAATTTTAATTCATGAATTTTTTTCAAACAAGCTAAAACAATGTTCATATTTTTGTTCTGGCCGCCACAATTGGCACTAAATAGCACAACTTTTTTGACTTGATGATCCATAGAATCAAAGTAATGGGACAAGCAGCTTGCTATTTCACATGAACCACGACCTCCGGTACTTTCATTCCACATGTACATAACATATTTTCCAGATTTAACATCATGGACTGCAAAATTGTAGGTCCAAAGCTTCCTTTTGTAATACTGTACAGATGTCGTCAGTTTAGGGGTAGCGGGAGTTTGCTGCAGATCTATACAAATTGCTGAAACTGAGTCTTCATTATTACTTTTATAACTTTTAAGTATTTTTTGAACAGCTTTGGCTCGTCTTAAATGAAGTTCCTTGGCAACTTGTAATTGGTTACGTTGTAAATCATCACAATTTGAAAGTTCCATATCTGTTTTGTCACAAAAATTACAAGTATCCGACTTAGGAGGGTTGAAACCAATATTGAATTTTTTATTAAATGTGTCACGATATAATCGTGAGCTGACAGGTTCAATTAAAGGGTAATTTTCTGTCATCCACTCACAGCATAGGTCATACAACTTGTTTATGTTTAAGTCTGTGGAAAGGTACTTTCGGTAAGGGCTTTTTGCTCTGCTGTAATGGCTTGAACATTTGGGTAAACTATTTACATGTAACATTACAGTTTCTTTCATTTCTACACTTACTTTGTTAACTGGATTTTTATTTCCTCTTCTGTCCAATTCTACAGTGCCACTTGTGGATACTTTATTCAAAACAGTTCGAACTCTCTTTTCAGTGACACCATGAATCGCATAGAATGCTTTTCTGCAGACTTTAAATTCATTGCTTTCAAAAAGTACACTGTACTCAATACTACGTAACTTTCGACTAGGTCGATTTTTAATGCGACAACGGTTGACAGAAACAGATTTCACTCTTTTAGATAAGTAAGTGTTTTGTAGGTTATACTCAGATAATTCCCAAAAGTTTTTAAAAATTATACTAATTTTCTCCAAACCTACTTTCTCAAAACATCCACAGGAACAGGGACTTCCCACAGTCCGCTTAGGCACAAGTTTTCTGTTTTTAATGGTGCTGTATTCTTCACCTGAGTTTCTTTTAACTTTATTCACATTCTTTTGCCACGTGTCTTCAGTTTTCGACCTTTTTCTAGTGTAGCCTTTGTTTTGGTCTTCTGTAAACTCGCTTTCTGACATTGTAGCAGTAAAATTTTAACTTTATTAGTAAAGTAACTCAAACTATTCAAACTAATCAAAATAAAAACTACTTGTTTTGACAAGCAAAACGACACTGTAGCTTAAAACGGTAAAAATGAGACGGAAATCACGGAAATTTTATTCAGAAATTTGGCAAGACAGAAGTGGGAGGGCTAGCTGTGTACCGACGTAGCGGTGGCGTATTCGCCGTTGTTCCACGGAACATTTACCATACTTTTTAAGATTCATACAGTTTGCTTCCGTTAAGTCAACCTATTATATAATTTTTTTTTTATAGTTCTGAATAGAAAGGACGAATAAACCATGTTATGGTGGTACATTGTTCGAATAATGATCCATTGCATTAAAAAAAACTGAACCTGGCGTATTCGCCCTTTTTCCTCGGAGCGCCTCATATGTTCCTGAAGGTGAATCGCGACGAAACTGTTCGTTTACTTATACGTTGTCTGTTGCAAGCACAAATATACGTGTATGTCAAAAAACTCTGTTCCATATTAAAAGTTACGCACAGACGTATCCAAAAATTGCAAGAAAAAATTAAGTTTAATCAACGATTGTCTGATCAAAGAGAAAAACATAAAAATAGACCACATGCGATCTCCGATGAAGTAAAAGTAGCTGTAAGAGAGCACATTAAATCTTTTCCAAAAGAAGTGAGTCACTATTCCAGAAATAATAGTCAAAAGCTTATTTTGCATCCAGACCTATCCATAAACAAAATGTATCTACTTTTTAAAGCAAAATGTTCCAATTTTCGTTGCAGTGAAAACCTCTACCGATACATATTTATTTCCGAATTCAATTTGAAATTTGTCACACCTAGATCGGACACCTGCGTTCGATGCGATTTATGTTTAGCTTGTATGTACCAAATCTGAGGTCAAAATGCAGATACTTTAAGTCCAAATCAAGCTACACCACGCAAAAGCAGAAGAAGCATATGCTATCAGAAACGAGGATATAGAATTAGCTCAAAATAATCCTAATATTATTGTTCTATGTACAGATCCACAGCAGGTACTGTTTTGCCATACGCTAAAACATTCTAACATATTCTACCAACGTCAATATTCATGTTATAATTAAGCAATCCATAATATGGGTACAAACGAGGGTTTTATGTGTCTGTGGCATGAAATTGTAGCAAAATGAGGTTCAGCTGAAACAACATCCTGCCTACTGAAGTATATTTTTAAGCCCATAGAAAAAAAAACAGAAAGAAAACTGATTGTTTGGTCAGACCAATGTATGGGACAAAATAATAATTGGCGTAGTATTGCATTATACCAGTACCTGGTCACTA